GTTCCCAGCTTTCTAGGAAAGCCTGTTCTTACTTGGAGAGCTACAGATATAACATACACTCCAGTGTCTTGGTTCAGACCTTCCTAATTACAAATCCTGGGTTAGTATCTTAGGTTCACATAACATCTTATAGCTCTATTATGACTTAATCCAATGGCCTGGTTAAGATAAGTCAGTGGCTTGCTTTCTATGGCTTGCCGAACCACAAATCAGAACCACAAGTTAAAACAATAAGTTACATCCCAGTTGTAGGAATATGGTTACATTTCTAATCTGTACCCTGCTACATGTTAGGGGAGCCCTTGCTTCAACATTACGTTTAGGTTTCAAATACCGGACAGCTTTATATAAATTTAGCTATGGAATTAAAAATTCAAGATGCAGCAGGTTTTATTATTGAATATTTTTGCTAAATGGCATGGTTATCAATCATCAGAATAGTAGACTTTCATTTATTCAATGTTCTTCCTCTTCTAGTGTCCTGTGGCATTCCAGGATGTGGCTGTATACTTCAACCAAGAGGAATGGGACCTTCTAAATGAGGAGCAAAGAATATTGTATTACACCGTCCTGCAAGAAAATTCTGAAAACATAACCTCTTTAGGTAATGTTCCCATTCCTGTAAGATCATGGAATCCTTTCTGAAGCCGTCAACTCCATTTTGCTTATACAATTGATCTTGCGAGTTTTTATTATTTATTAAGCAAATGTAATAATCCGGGAGCAAATTACATTTTACTTGGGAATCCGTTTTATCTTTAAAGCAGACCTTTGTGTTAGATTGAGCTGAGAAAGGACAGATGCAAGGTTCCCTGAAGTTTCCATGCCTTAGCGTGGACTTTAACCTGGTTCTTCCCAAATCTATTCCAGCATTTTAACTTACTGTACACTACACTAGTAGTCAGTTCTAAGTTATTTGGTTCTTTGTATTCTCTGAACTTGGTTGTTTTCCCACAAACAACTCAGAAATGACCAAGAGGTTCAGTATCATTTTGCACCATGCAGGAAATGGTACCAGAGAAACAATTAAGGAAAACAATATTCTGATCAGGGCACTATAAAAAAAAAAAAGAAATTGGACTCCAATGTGTCACCTATGAACCTTTATGAGGTGTACCTATATTAGAATTCTGAGCTAGCTAATTACCCAGCCTGTCCTTGGAAAGACACTTTATTGCGTTATATAGCTATAAAGAAAACCAATAATCTTCCTCTCTTTTGTTATGTTTCTTTCTCTTCCTCTAGAGCTTTTGATTTCCAAGCCAGATCCGAGTCTCCAGCCCAACTGGGACGAAGAGTCACAGATAGCTGATCTTCAGACATTCAAAGGAAAAGACTCTATTGTTGAAGGAGTTGTGAATTGGGAGGACATAACAGTGGTTGGTGAGAAGGGCTTTCTGTAACAAAAGAATCCACCTCTTTTAAGTCTTATTGGGTTACAGATGTTACTTTGTTTTTTTCAAAGTCAAGCACTTTGAATCAACTGTCCCACATCCAGACCCACGGCAGTTGGAAGATACAACATTGATCAGACTGTCCACAATGTTATTCCTTTAGTGCATACAGTTTAGCTCGTGTTCTGGTGGACTTTTTCCTTTCCCCCCATTAACTTAACTGTTGCCCTACTGATTTCATTACTTCCCACTGTCAGGG